CTTTGGCAAACATTGGTTTCTTTGTTTTATGCCTCTTTTGATATCGCTAATTAGAGAATCATTGAACAGAGTTATTTATCTTGTTGCATCTATCCCAGAATTTTGTGTGATGTGACCCTAAAATGTACCTGAGAGATGTGCAGTTGGAGGAGAGCCATAAAGTGCTTTAAAATAAATCAACAAACAATAAACAGAGCAGAGTCTTGTATTCTCTAAGGCTTTCAGTAAATTATGTAACTGTGAAGATGTGTTCTCTCATAAGAAATTGTCTGTGAAAGCCAGGATATTCTCAATTTTCATACAGAATATACTCAATATGTGTGTAGATTATTGTCATAAAAATGTAGTAGGAACATGAAACTAAACATATGAACCAGCAGTGTTGATGTAATGCCTTCTTAGATCTTTTTTTTAGTGGCATTACTATGTGTATGTGTTTTCTACATCATAATTATGTGGTATTTTTTATGCTTTGTTGTATTTTGACATTGATTCCCAAGCAGTTTCAAAATTGTGCCCATCCAACACTGTTTTCTTCTGTGTATACTTTGTCCCCTCCACTAAAGTCCTACTCTAATGCCTCATCGAGGCCTGCAGATATCCCTGCCTTCTTTCTTAAATTAAATTCAGAATGCCTGGTGCATAATAAGCACTTCATAAATGTTTGCTGACTGACTGCATATTGACACTTCTGCCAAGAAGCAGTTGCAATCTTTATTCTTAGACATCTCCAACTTTGGTTGATCAAAGTTCTTGATTTTTAGATTTTCATTTTTACAGTGTTATTGTATAAATTGTTCTCTTGTTTCACCTCATTTCACTTTACATCAGTTCACACGAATCTTCCCCAGTTTCTTGTGGAACAATAGTATTGTATTACATTCATATACTAGTTTCTGGTCAACCATTCTCCAACTGATGGGACCACATAACTCTGTGTTTTCAAAGCCTACGCCAGTGTACCATCAGCAGATCCTACTAAATTGGGAAAGCTTCAAATGTGAATCTGGTAAGTTTATTGTCATAATACCAACTTAGCTAGTTCAGACACTCATCACCAGAGATTTTGGAAAGTTGCTGAGTTCCCCTTTCCTCTGAAGACCTTCCCACCAAAGTATCACCCGTAGCAACTTCCGTGATCATATCACCAAATCATAGAACGTTGAATTATTGAAATAGAAGTACATGGTCCAATGTTATAGTTTTTCCTGTCAATCTTTTTGGGTTTCATTTCTATTTTCTTCTATTGGTCATGGGGTCCCAAGAGTCCAATGTGATAGTCTCAACATTATCAGCAATGAGAATAGATTGCTGTAGAAATGGAATGAAATTGCAAGCATTTTTACCCTAGTTGTTGTCCTACTTCCAGTTTTATCTGTAAATGTTCTTCATATGATTTTACTTAATTGGGTCCCATGGCAGGTTTGTGAAGACTTTTTTTTTCCTTCTGGTGTTTTTTTTTTTTTGGTCTTTCAGGAGGTAATACTGCTCTTATCTTCCAAAATTCCTCTGTACCATTTTGTAGATGAGTTTGTACTTTAGCTTTAGTCCAAGTTTTACAGAACAAATCCTTTTATTAAGGGGATTTATTCTGTGGAGTTTGGATTCACTCAAAGGGCTGCATTTGAGGATGTAAGGCCACATGTGGTCTCAAGGCTGCAAGTTCCCCACCCCTGGACTAGACATATAGATAAATCAGGAATGACTCTGTTAGACAAACCCTCCATTTTAGTCACTAATTATATTCTCGCTTGTTAGCCATTTTCTCTTCTTTCATTGTCTGCAATTATATACTCTTTCCCTTCCTTCAGTGTCCAGTTCATATAATACACTCGAGCCTCCCCCAACTATATCAGCTTCTGGCGATCACTCTCTCATTTGAAGCCCTGTAGTATTTATTGCTCAATATTGTACTTGATGCTTAGTACATTCCTCAGCCTTGTTTATCTATTTCTGTCTATATCCTGTCTTCCCAATCTGAAAGATTGTCTCTCTCTCTCTTTTTTTTGTATAGCTAATTCTTAGCACAGTAGCCGCCTGCCAGACCTAGTTAGATATAAAAAAAAATGTTTATCTCAGGCCCCCTACTGAGCCCTCTAGTATGGACTTTGCAGTCTTTTTCTCTGGGCAGTTATCCACTAATAGCTGGCCCTGTTCCTTGGCTTGGCTCTAATAGTAGTGATGGCTTGAATCATCTTGAAAGGTCCCTAGAGTGTATATATTGCTTGGTCCTGTCATAATGATCTGCTCTAGCCTGTCTCTTGTTGTGGCTGTAGTAGGTCAGGACCAAGGTCCCACTAGATTCAGAGTCCTAGGGGTATGCAGGAGCCAGCTCAAACTGGCTTGCTAGAGCCAATTATTCAATTTTTAGTGTGAGCATTTATACCTCAGAAACAGACACATGCTACAAATCTGGGCTAGATTTATTGTTTTGTGAATTGTCTAAACTTTAGAACATTATGCAGAAAATGTTAATAATGCTGATTAATTTTAAAATGTGCTATTTGTACATTTTTTTTAAAGAGCAGCCTATTTAAAATTTATCAGCTTACCACTGTTTGCTAGAGACCTGGGAAGCTTCAGGCCCTGATATCTCCTGCATCTTCATTCAGTACATCTGTAGAATTTTGGAAATTTTCTTGTGTAGTTCTGGACTAAATGGAGGAACTTACCGGTGTTACCCCCTCCTTTTTTTTAGGCAATTGGGGTTAAGTGACTTGCCCAGGGTCACACAGCTAGTAAGTGTCAAGTGTTTGGTCTGAGGCCGGATTTGAACTCAGGTCCTCTTGACTTCAGGGCCGGTGCTTTATCCCCTGTGCTACCTAGCTTCCTCTCTCCCCCCCTTTTAGATCATCTGGAGCCCTTTTGTTATTTTTTAAAATAAAATTTTATTTGTTGTACAAAAAGACTGATATAGAAGTATTTTCATGATTGCACATGTATAACCTGTATCAGATTGCTTACCATCTCAGGGGAAGAGAGAAAGAGAAATAGAATTTGGAACTTAAAACTTAAAAAAAACCCCAAATGTTAAAAATTGTTTTAACATGTTTTTGGAAAAAAAAATTATAAAAATTAAAATTAAAATTAAAAAAATAAGAAGTGAAAAAGTTATTATACACTTAAAAATATCACATAATTTCCTCTTGGCATTCTTTCCCTTTCCCTTTCAGGGGATGATCCCATGTAACAAAGATTTTTTTTTAAAGAAAAAAAAGAAGACAAAAGAAAATCAGTATAATCAATAAATACATTGAAAAAAATCTGAAAATGTATGTAATGTTCTACACTCCTGGAACTCCTACCTCTGGGAAAAAAATTGGGGAAGCTATCTTCTCATATCTCTTCTTTGGGACAATGATTATTCTTCTTTGTAATTTCTCAACAGTCACTTTTTATTATTTTGTGGTTGTTCTTCCCATTTACATTGTTGTAGTTATTGTGTGTATTGTGTTCTTGGCTTGCATCACCTCTTGCCTCTATTATTGTAATAGCTTCATAATTGTTTCTTCCTGATTCATATTTCTCCCCATTGTAGGTCTGAATGTGTTACCACTCCAGTCATTCAATTGTTCCCTATTTATTCTATAAGCAAATGTAAACTTCTCCTCTGTGATTTAAAGTCCTTCAAATCTGGCCCCTTCTTATCATCTTAAACTCTATTCCCTTCTACACATTACTTCTTATTCATACGTTAGCCATACTGGCCTATATATATCATTCCTTACACTTACTGCTTCTCTTTGGTGCATTTTCAATGGCTTTCTGCCAAACTGCCTCATCAGTACATCTTAGAAGCCCTTCTCCTTCTGTTCAAATGGTACCCTCTGCAGGAAGCTTTTTTTTCTGGTCCTCCACTTGTGCCTTTCCTTCCAAAATGATATAATTTCTACTTTGTGTGTATCTTGTTATATGCCTGCTGTCTTTACCTTTAGAATGTAAGGTCCTTTAGGACAGGGAGTGTTTTCTCTTTTTTCTGTCACCAGTTCTTAGCCCAGTAACTGGCACATAGCAAGCGATTAAGAAATGCTTATTGATTGATTACAATGGTAGCTTTGATTTTTGGGAATGTAGACTTCTTAGGAAGAGTTTTGTGGGGGAGTAGTGATAGTGATATAAAGAAAGAGAGAAAGAAAAGTGTCATTGAGATATTGAAAAATACATAGGAGAAAGCAGAAGGAAGTTAAGAAGTGGGCAGAGAACAGAAGGGTAGTTTTGGTATTTTAATAGTAAATTTGATATATACTTAAAACCATCCCAGTCCATACACAGAAGAGATTTTTGTTTCATTTCCAATACCTTTTTCCTGTTCTTTTTTATACATTGAAATGTTCATGTTTTTTTGATGTTTAATTCATGAAAAAAAGAAAATTTAAAAAAATATGAAATTTTATATAAAGTTATAACTTGTTAAAATAGCTTTGTTAGAGGATTGCATTGCAATTTTGGCTTAAGTTGAGATAACTTATTTGTCCTCCCTCTTCAAAAATTTCCAAGTGTTTATGGGGTGGTGGTAGGGGAGTTTCTTGTCTTTACTGGAACATAGCTTCAATTTTTTTTTAATGAAGAAAGAGGGAGACTAGAGCTGAGATTTCATTAGTATAGGGAACTTCTTTTTTGCAGGTTAATAATTTAGATCTTAGCTAGTCACTTACTCTCTCAATGATGTAAGCAACTCTCTAAGGGTCATATAAGCCATATATGACAAGAGGTGGGATTTGAATCCAAGTCTTCCTGGCTTCAAGCCCATCTCTCTGTGCCGTCCTCCTTCTCTTACAAAAGAAGTCAATAAAAAAATAGAGTTTGCTTTAAATTTAACTTTGCTAACAGCCACCTTTTATAAAAGCCAGTTCAATAAAGCAAGGGAAACTTTAGTATGATGACGATTTTACCTTACTTTATAAAGTTGTTTTGGACTCATTAACAAGTGATTTAGGGTAAAATATTGACATTTATAAAACATTCTTAATGGGTAAACATACATTTTAATTCTTTTTCAGAACAATGGTTCCCTGGTATGGTGCCAGACTCATAAACAGTGTTCTAAGGTATGTGCTTTAATGCTATATAGCTCTTTTTATAGTTCTCCTTTTTTCTTTATTATCTGGTTTCACACATCAATTACCTTAAATAATATCTTTCCCTATAATTGATTTTAATCAATTTTTTCCCTAGTAGATTTTTGTACTTTGAATTTCACTTGATAAAATGTGTTTTCAGGTAAATTAATTGATACTTTAATACTGTGGCATGTTTTCCATTTTAGAGAATTCTTTGATATACTTTGAAACTCAACATTGGTCATTTATTTAGGTTGCAAATATAATTCCCTGGAGGCCTAGCTAGTTCTAGCTGGGCAATGCTTCTATTTCCTCCACACCTCCTCTTCTTCCTCTACCTCCTCTTCCTCTATGGATATGGGGAGACATACCCAAAGGAACATAAATTTTAGTCACTTATACTTTGCAAGGTATCTTGGGGTTTAGGGGCTAGATTTTTTTTCTTTATTTATCCTATCATTCCCTTCCCCCCCCCAAAAAAAAAGACTGGGACAATTAACTATTTTGTCTCATGGAGTTTTCATTTGTGATTTCTTGAAATATAGTGCTGAAAAACCAGGCTTTGATAAAAGTCCATTGTGATTCAAATGGAGGTACTAGACTATGTCTTTAAACCCAGATTTCTCTGTCTTTCACTGATTAGCTAATAATAGGCTCTGCCCCAGGCCTCACTTGCTCATTATTTGGGTTTTGATGGCTTAGAGTGAGTGTAAATAGCAATTGTTTCTGTTCTGGTTAGAAAGTCTAAGGGTCTTCCTCATCCAGATTGATTCTTATGGAAGGCAAAGTAAGCCAACTTTTGCCTCAATTCTTATTTAGCTTTACATTACAGGATGAGCAATGCCTCAGACAAACTGAGACTTGGGAAAGACCTTAGCTTAAAAAGGTCAAGATCTCCCACTGCACCTGGGGTCATCTCTAGTCTTCCTGACCTTTGTCTTGCCACTGGACTCAGAAGACCCCGGAGGAGGGAGTGAGGCTGATGACTTTACACTGCTCTGCTTCACTTAAATCCAATTCACTTGCAAGTCAAGACATCATCTGCCTGATGTCATCCGGTCCTCTTCGAGAATGAAGGACGAACAACAACAATACAGACCAGATTGGTTAAATATCAATTGTTTGCTAAGCTCAGTTCAAGAGAAGAAAGTAAGTACTACTCTTTTAGGAACTTTTTAGAATCAAAAATGGTGTTGAGATACCAATAACTTCAGTACACAACGTTACATGCTAACGGAGTAGCAAACAGTGCTGCATGAGACCTGAGGAGGAAGGTAACTTACTTGACCAGAGAGCTCAAGAAAGGCTTTATGTAGGAAGTGTTATTTGGATCAGGCTTTAAATGATGGGCAGAGACTATCCCTGGGAGGACAGATTTGAGAGCTATTGTAGAAACAGCACTTGGTAACTAAAAGGTGAAGGTGGGGGTATGAGTAAAGTATTTACTCCAAAGTTTATAAACATGTGAAATGAGGTGAATAGTGGTGTTGAAGGCAGAAATCATGAATTCAGAAGGAAGGATATATATATATATATATATATATATATATATATATATATATATATATATATATATATATAGAAGGAAAAATGATAAGCTTGATTTTAGCAGATATGCATTTGGAGCTGCAGGTCTAGAGTTGAGAGGAGAAATCAGGCCTGGAGACAAATATTTAGAAGACATTTATAGAGACATACTAGGTTAAACTGTGGGAGTGAATGAGATTGTCAAGGTAGAGAACACAGCACAAGATTTGAGAATAGACCTTTTAGGAACATCCACATAAAGATGTTAGGGATGGGATAAGAAGACAGTGGAGACAGAAGAGTAGATAGAGAATTAGGAGAAGAATCAGGAAAATATGTTATATTTATAGCTAAGGGAGATAGTAATTAAACTAATTGGTCAGAAGTGTCAAAAGCTGCAGATAGATTAAGAGTAATGAAAACTAAAGAAAGCGTTTTGTATATGACAATGAGAAGGTGTTGGTGATTTTGAAGAGAGAAGTTTCAATAAACTGGAGATATAAAGAGAAATTCCATTTTCCATCCCTGTGTCTTTAGACAGGCTACATCCCCTGTGTGTGGAAGCCTGTCTTGTCTCACCCCCTTCTCAAAGAATTTGAGAAGCCACAAAGGATAATTCAAATGCCACATCCTAAAGGAAACCAATCTTTATCTGCTCAGATGCTAGTGTTTTCCCTGCCTCTTGCTACTTTTTGTTTGTTCTGGACATTTTCTATCTACTTAACTGTGTACATGTTGCTTTTTCCTCAATGGAATGAAAGCTACTTGAAAGCAGGGATTATTTTTGTTTTTATATCTTCATTGCCCATTTTTCCTTCCCTCTCTCACAGAGTGGTTTTTTTTTTTTTGGAAAAAGACGCTTTGTGAACAATAATCACTGTTATTTTTATTGAGGGCAGGGTAGAAGTAGGAGTATAGTTTCAGGTGTTAGTAAGATTAAGGGAAGTTTTTTTTCAGGACAGCAAAATTCTCATAGGAACATACTTAAATGGAGGAGAGAGAGAGAGAGAGAGAGAGAGAGAGAGAGAGAGAGAGAGAGAGAGAGAGAGAGAGAGAGAGAGAGAGAGAGAGAGAGCGCGAGAGAGAGAGAGCGTGATTGAAGATGGTGATTGAGGATATTTGGGGAGTTTATCAGTACAGTGAGGTTCTAGAGTAGATGGGAAGGGATGGAATCTTATCAAGGACACATGGGGAACGGTTAGTAAGTCAGAAGTCCACATAATCCCTTTCAGAGGGATAAAATAGAGAATAGGAGAAGACACAAAAGCTTTTAAGATATGGAAATCAAAAATCTTACTTCGGATTATTTTATTCTTCTACATAAAATAAGAGGTGGGGTTATCTGCTGAGAGGTAGGTATAGTTAGGGACTTAAGGAGAAAGAAAGGGCAATCCCTTTGGATATCCTAATAAGACACCAAAAAGAGATGAATAAAAGTATTATCATGTAGCATTAAAGGTCTTGTTAAAGATAATTCTGGATAGTATAAATTTGTAGAAGATCCATAAGTTATGTTTATTAAACTTATATTACTTAGGAGTAGAAAAGGAAAAGACAGGTTGTGAGTCATTCAGAGTAGGAAATTAAAATGTTAAAACAAAAGAGACAAGTAAGGTCAAGGGTAGAAAGGGTTAAAGGGCAGAGGGGAACATATCACTGAAATGGCTGACTATAGTGTGAAGAGTGAGAAGGGAAGGAAGTGGAGCCAGAGACTAGATTGTAAATCAGGTGTGAAAGTCACTGAGAAAGATGGGAGAATAACAGCAAATAGGATAAGGAAAGGGTGGAATAATCAGATGACTTGACCTTAAAAGGAGGAGAGGGTATTGAAAACAACCTTTCATGCACTAGACTAATCTTTGAAGTTTATTCATCAGTGACTTTATTGAAAATAACAAAATCTTTATGTGACAATAAAACAATACATGGTTGGGTGAAGATAGTTTTTAACTTTCATAATTGAATTTTGCTTGTATCTAGGCAGGCAACATACATAAAAGTTCCTGTATATTAGCCCTTTGCTGTAAAGCTTCTAAATTCTTCCACTGTTGTTTGATGTGACATATGGCATGTCTTGGGATATGCAAAATAAAGTTTTTCCCCGTTGGATTTTCAGAACACTTTATGATGATCTTTTCACGAAAACCTGATTGTAAATGGGGAAAAAATAAGGATAAAGAGCACACTGATTAAAGTTAATATTTATCCATTAAACAAAGATGATGATGTTTTGAAATATAAATGTTATATCATTCTTGAGTATATCTATACTCATGATCCTTTGAAGGGAATTTAGATTAGAGGTGGCATATTTCAAGTATTTTTTTTTGCATCATAAATAAAGAGAAATTACACCTAAAGGGGATTACAATGTTATTGTGTCCTTAGATCACACTTTGTAATTGGATGATCAAGGCTTATGTGATACCTCCTCTGGTTTCCTTAAGAAATAAATAGATGTTTTTTTGCCTGAAGATAAAACAAGATTCCTAAAAGAGGGTGGTTAAATGATTATCCAGTCAAGGTCACCACAAACTTCATGAACACTATGGAATAAATTACTAAACTGGAATGATTTTTAAGGGTTGCCTTTAGCCTGAGTATTTAAAGTGAACCTTAAATAATAATCATAGTTGTATTTCTCTGGGAAAAAAATCAGTTTGGAGTGCATTGTGAGTGAGAAGATTTGAAGTACTTGACAAATATTTTCTTTTCATCTATACATGAAATTAGTGGTAGGCAGATGGGGAGACTGGTAAATGTACAGGTTTTGTAATTTTTTTAACCCAACTCAGTGATGTCAGTAGAGGAGCTCTACATAATGTCTACCTTCTCTGTATTAATTCATTTTTCATGTTGCCATGAATTAATCTGTATATACCAGTATGTCATTTTAAAGAGTGCTTTGAATTGGAATCAAGAAAATGAAAACATACATGAAAACTGCTAATGGTGGCATATTATGGTTTCTTTTAATTTTTCACAATAACATTTCAAATATTGATAAATAATATTATTCAATTTATTTGTTGGCATTTAGTTCTGCCTGCTTCTACATGACCCCAAAGGAGTTTTGTTGGCAAACATGCTGGAGCGGTTTGCCAATTACTTCTCCAGCCCATTTTACAGATGAGTAACTGAGGGAAACAGAAGTTAAGTGACTTGCCCAGGGTCACACAGCCAGTAACTATCTAAGGCTGGATTTGGACTCAGATTTAACTCCAAGCTTGATGCTCTATCCACTGTACTACTCAAGTGCCCCACTAAATTTATACTATGATAAAAATTTTAACTGCTTACTTAAAGCATATAGAATACAATCTATTCATTAAGTTCAAAAACTGTAACTTTTATTGAAGGGCTGTATGTTAGTGGTTAGTAATGTCTTTTAAAACGGTATTCTATGAAATAAATACACAAATAATGAAATTCAAAAAGGATGAGAGAAATGTAATTGAATA